GCTGCTCCGTGAAGAGAGCGACGAGGCCGGCCTGTCTCGGAGGGGCGCCTGGGCAGCCCGAGCGGGTGAGCGGGAGGGGAAGGGGCCGCCGGGGCCCGGGAGGGAGGGCAGGCAGGCAGGGTTGGGGTGGGGACCCTCTGGCCAGGCGTGAGCGCCCGGGAGGGAAGGGCGGGAAGGGGGGGCCAGAGAGGGGGCGGTTGGCCGGGTGGCGCGAGAGCGGGCTGCGGGTGGGGAGAAGAGGAAGCAGGCCTCGCCGGGGAGCCCTTGGCCTGGAATAGAAGAAGAATTGGCTGAGGGACCCGAACCCTCTGTGTGTGTGTGTGTGTGTGTGTGGAGAGAGAGAGAGAGAGAGAGGTGAGAAGGAGAAAGTGCGTGTGTTTGTTTACGTATAGGGATATAGGTATAAAAACAGTCTCTGTATATAGAGATATATAAAAACGACGTCTCTGTGTGTCTTTATGGGTTTTCAGTTTCACTGTACACAGGTTGTGCATTGATAATAAACGTTTGATTGATTAAAAAACGTGTGTGTGTGTTTATAGAGATATATAAAAAAATGTATTTTTAGGTATAGGGATATATATGTGTGTGTGTGTGTATCTTTGGTTATTTGGGTTTTCTCCCGCGTAAAATTGGAAGTATCTAGGTGATGTTCTGATGAAGTCTTATTCATCATCTTCAGGCTTGTGTCTTCGGCTTTGTGCTTCTCGGAGGATGGATGGATAGATAGATAGATAGATAGATAGATAGATAGATAGATATACCATGTGTTTGTGTGTGTGTTTATGTATAGAGATATATAAAAAAAATGGTTTTAGGTATAGGGAGATGTATGTATATGTATATATATGTGTGTGTGTGTATATATATATATATATATATGTATATATATGTATATATATGTATATGTATGTATGTATGTGTGTGTGTATATAAAACGTGTGTTTATAGAGATACATAAAAAAGAATGTCTGTGTATGTGTGCATCTTTCTCTCTCTCAAGCCTCCTCTTTCTGTTATGTGTTCCAAGATGGACAGTGATTAATATTTATATGTTAGGATGTAGGTATAGACATACGTATGTAGATAGCATATCTATATATGTGTTAGGTATGTGTACACTTTTGATATACACCCACAATAAATATGGTATACAACCTGGACACATGAGAGTCCATACACATGATATATACATATACCGTATAGAGAGAGGGAGGACTAACTAGGCTACATATAAATGCAACAAAACCAGAGAAGTATTTGTTTTTGTATTTCCTGGACAAAGAGCTCAAACTTTAGCCTTTAAGATACATGCTGATAGATATAAATGGTAAAGACTAGATAGATATAAATTGTAACTTTGTATTCATTTACTTTGTTCATCTTTAATGAAAGAAAATTAATTTGTTGCTTAATTTCTTCTTGTATTTCTTTATCTTAGTATTGTTTACTGATGTTATCTTGAAGTTGATCCATGCTCATCTGGGTGCTAATTGCTGTTCCTGATTAACTCCAAGATTAACATCAGACCAGCATTGAAGTAAACAATACTCCTATAAAGAAAACTGCCAAACAAGCCAACAGGAAATCAAAGAACCTCTAAGACCACCACCCCCAACACTGACAGGGCAAGCCACCAGAATATAAATAAGTTTAAGCCCCGCTCCTTACTAGCACTGATGACGTTACCTAGTTTGGGTGATGAGATGCCTGCAAGAAGACAACCAAGCTCACAGAGAGCATCCAGGAACCTTCAAGATGTAATCTGCATTACTGGAAGTTCTCACTCCATGGAAAAGGATAAACTGATAGAAACTCAGCTAGAGGATTAGTGATTTCCCATCCCCATTTTCATTATAATCTGCCTTTATTGCTATATTTGATGGGGTTGCATTATGTGGTTATTGTAGTGTTGGAAGTTAAAACCCACCCCTCTCCTAGAGAAATGAAATGTTTTAGGATATATTTAAAAAGGCAGGATATTTCCCCTAAAAGAGAGGCAGAAACTCAAAACCTTTGCTAATGGGCCATTAAGGCCTGGGCCAGTCTAGTTTACATAACAAAGATCTATGTCCTTCAGGCGGAGCCATAATAGGAATCTCAAAGCCCTTACAATACCTCATCATCCAGCAAGGTTCAACCAAGCCTGGGGCTCAGGGCAGCCTACAGAGTTGCCCTTTCATGGTCCCATGACAACCAATCAGAATACAAGCTCAAATTCAAATCCCAAGAGGGCATAAAACCAAGGGACTCTCAGCGTTTCTTCCCCCTTTTTCGCTCATGAGCTCCAAGGCACGTGAACCTGTCCACCATTAAGCCATCTTTCCAAACAGCCTCCATGTTTCCAGTGTCTTTTTCACTACTTGGAACTGAACCCAGAAGGATATTTCTTCCAACAGTAGGAAAGGGAATGCTCTAAGCACCTTGAAAAATGTCCTGTGTTGAGAAGCTGAGAACATTCTTGTGCATAAAGGCTTTTGGCCATAAATCAATTCAATTGAATCTTCACATGTAGAATTGTGCACCTGATACCTCATCATGTGTTTTTTTTTTTTTTGCAAAACCTCCAAAATGTTCTCACCATGTTGTCCTTATTTACACTTCATTGTATTTTTCCACTAGTATATGTAATTATATTGAAGAGGTAGTCTATAATTATATATATAGTTGAGGTAAAGTTCTCCAGCAAAACATACTGAGTTTGTGATGTTCCTGATCTGATGTCCTTTATCTGTGCTGTAGACTCACTGAGATGGAAGAAAGTTAAGTTTGCTATATTCATCTATTTTGGGGTTTACAGTAACTCCAAGAATATTTAGCACAAGGGATATGATGGCTTCTGAGCAGAGCAAACAGTCTTTCCAAATATATCAAGCTAGGAATACACCATAAGGGAAATGCAAAAATATAATTTACTTGTTGCATCAGCCTTGTAATTATGCCCTCAAAAATTAATAACCTGGTACAAAAACAAAAAAGTGGTAGAATAGAAATGGAGAATTCTGCCTGATGTCCCCCAGTTGTTTTAGACTTTATGACCCAGACAAAGAATTGTAGAAATGATATTGTAAAATATATAGAAGACACCAGATTTCTTATCTCTCCTGTGGGAAATCTCTTGTAAAAAATGTTAATTATGGACAAGTCCATTTAACCCCATACTCTGTTGCTGTTTGGCATTCTACCATGACAACGTAAGGGCAATTAAGGGAAAGTGTTAAAGTATTTGTATCCAGCGAACATGTTAATTTCATGAAGCAAAACAACATTTTAAGGGGCTCTTAAACGTTTCCACTTTTTAACTTTTTCAGTTTTTTTTATAACACAGTAGTTTGGAAAAACGTAAGTTGCTTATTACTCTGAATGTTTTCAGATGTAAATTTTCTTAAAATATTTTCAAACTAATTTCTTTAATAACAAGATATTCTTTTTTTAATTTAGAAACTAAAATGTCTTCATGGCCCAAAGTAACCACAGATCAAGCACAAACACCGGATCCTGAAAAAAGGTAAAAAGCACACTGATCCTTGTTCTTTTTCCTGTTTCTTTTAAATTCTCTCTCCCTCCCTCCCTCTCTCTGTATTAAAGAAACATACATACATACATACATACATACTAAAATTTCAGATCCACATTTCTGTAGAAAATTTTTAATGCATTCTTTTTTTTTACATTTAGTTTAGAAGTTTACATCTTCATTTAAAAATTGCGGCCTATACTAACTAGATGGATACAAGCTAAATCTGATCTTTGTATATTCTGACTAAATCATTGAAAATTCTATGTGAAATTTAGCATTTTAAATTTACATTGTATCCCGGTTTCCTTCTTTAGTAGGGTTAGCGGCTACATTTGCTGCTGATGGCATGCCCAAATTCATAGCTAATCCTGCCTAACAAACTATCTGTGTGCTTATGTGTTACATGTTTGTTCGTTGTTTTTCGGTTCATATGAATGAATACATAAAACAAGAAATTGTGCATCACATCTAAACCTATCCTCTTTAGTTTGCTTGCTTGCTTATTTATTTATTCAATTTGTGTGGCTACCAATCTAAACAAATTATTCTGGGCTTGCTCTGTTCCCAAGCAAGCTGGTATTTCTAATTTTAATTTGGTACCAACGCTTGTCTTACACTTTTGTTTTTCAATCCTGATTCCAGTTCAGCTGGAATCAAGAATTGTATTAGTGTTGGTGTTCGATCACTAAGTTGTATCCCACGCTTCATGACACTATAGATTATAGCAGTCTAGGGCCCCACACCGTCCTCCAATATCTCTTGGAGTTTGTTTAAAATTCATGTTTATTGTGTCAATGACACCAACCATTTCATCCCCTGCAGTTCCCTTCTCCTTTTGCCTTCAATCTTTCCTTCAATCCAGGTCTTTTCCAATGAATCTTCTCATTTGGTGGCCACAGCATTTAAGCTTCAGTATCTTGTTCTGTTCCTTATTCACAACCAAAACCTTTAGCAGCAAAACACTGCAAAAGTGACGGCAGGGACTGGTTGATTCTAAACCAGTGACGCTCAAGCGTTCTCAA